TTGCTGCTGGTCGAATCATAAAGATCTTAAATACAAGTGCTAAACACAAAACTGAAAGGGAGCCGTTCTCAAAGACTAGACAATTAAAATAACATAATAGTTATACACAAATCAAATATCTAAATCTCAATACAAGAACTGGAACTAACCATAACTGGAAGTTAGGCAACCTTTCGAACGCGCGCCGGGAGGGCAAGCAACCCAACTGGTCCGCGGACGGTACGTCATACGAAACTTTGAATGGCGCGAATCCCTAAAGGACCAAAAGCTAAACTCAAGCGCAACGAGGAGAGACGGGGAGCCAGCCGGGCACGTCGCATACAACAACGTGCAAGGGCCTCGCCGACCCCCGCGCCCTCCCCGAGACACCATAAACAAAGTAGAGCCAAAGCACCAAAAGTACAACAGAACGGACCGTACCGCCGCGGAACCAGGAAGATACTATTTTGGTTGTACAAAACACGAGGTTACAGAACCACAGAATAAACTCACACGAGCAATATGGTGATGGAGAGAGAGTGAGTGCTTCACCACGAAGCAGACCGACCCGGCCCCGGCGGGGCGGACGGAGACCGAAAACAACTTGCTGCTGGTGACATCACGGGCAGACCGCCGGTGAGAATGGGGGGGCCTAGCCCACCTTCCCGTCGACCCAGCAGAAACTACCGCCATCAGGGCGACAATCCCAAAGGGAAACACATAGCGTGTACCACGTCTAAAGACGGAAAAATAAGACCCTGCAAGGAACAGATACATTTAGCACACGGATGTCTCACTACGAAAATCGGGAATCGGAAAGTAGCCACCAGACTCACCAAGCACAATGTGCGGGTGACGCACGGATGTTCAAAAGAAAAACATTACAGGTGCTCGGGTCCCTCCGAGGGAGACCCTCCCTCGCTGCTGTCGCTCTCTGAGTGACCGAGGTCCAGCGTCCGGCCACCGGCCCCGGCTCGCCTCACTCGCTCTCGCTCGCACCCATTGGCCCGGCCGGTCAGCTGACCCCATCGTCTGCTAGACCGGCCGCACCTGAGCTGGCGCTCAGGCGATCAAGGCGGCAAAAGTAGAAAAGTGACGCGCGTTCGAAATTTAAAAGAGCCACGCGTCCGCGACCCCTCCAAACCCGGGCGGAACCGGCCAACTAAGGCAAACCCCAACCCCCTCGAAATTCCGCGCGTCACATTGTAAACGATCACTTCAAGTATTCCAGGCGCCCATGGTCATGGTCGGCCGCGAACAAGGCTTGTACGCCTCCATACCAACGAAAAATCACCCAAAATTCACCTAATGTCTTCAAATACTCAGGGCCCACGCCCAGTATGGGTGGCCTGGGCGACTCACGACGGGTTTTCACGAAAGTCTGTTTACCCGAGAGTGCGGAGGACGTGTGGGCAAATTTTTATGCAGCCAAATCAAGCTGGAGTGGGGAAGGGGGAGGGGGTAGACTGGCACTTAAAAGCCTTTTTAGCAGATGATACGTAGTAATCAGCAGCTTGT